ATGCCGCCCTTTTCCCTGGGGGGACTCAGGGCGGCTCACAATTCAAAAAGGGAGGGGGGGGGAAGACAAACAGTATTCCAATATGGAAACAATACAACATATTAAAAGAGAGCACAACAGTCACACAATTCGGGTGGGGTTGGAATCTTAACCCCAGGCCAGCCGGGACAGCCAGATCTTCAAAGCGGCGCGGAAGGATTGGAGGGTGGTGAGGGTCCGAATCTCCACGGGGAGTTCGTTCCAGAGGGTCGGAGCAGCCACCGAGAAGGCTCTCCTCCCGGTAGTTGCCAGTTTGCACTGGCTAGTAGATGGAATTCGGAGGAGGCCTAATCGATGCGATCGTATCGGTCTAGTGGAGGTAATTGGCAGTAGGCGGTCTCTCAAATACCCAGGCCCACTACCATGAAGGGCTTTATAGGTGATAAGTAGCACCTTGAAGCGCACCCGGAGATCGACAGGCAGCCAGTGTAGCTCGCGGAGGATAGGTGTAACGTGGGTGAAGCGAGGTGCACCCACAATCGCTCGCGCGGCCGCATTCTGGACTAGCTGAAGTCGCCGAATGCTCTTCAAGGGAAGCCCCATGTAGAGCACATTGCAGTATTCCAGCCTAGAGGTCACAAGGGCACGAGTGACTGTTGTGAGGGCCTCCCGGTTCAGGTAGGGACGCAACTGGTGTACCAGGCGAACCTGGGCAAATGCCCCCCTGGTCACAGCTGACAAATGATGTTCGAAGGTCAGCTGTGGGTCCAGGAGGACTCCCAAGTTGCGAACCCTGTCTGAGGGGCGTATAATTTGACCCCCCAGCCTGAGAGATGGAATACTTGGCCAATTCGCGGGAGGGAAACACAGCAGCCACTCGGTCTTTTCTGGATTGAGCACAAGCTTGTTGACCCCCATCCAGTCTTTAACAGCCTCCAGACCCTGGCTCATCACATCCATCGCTTCGTTGAGTTGGCACGGGGCGGACAGATACAACTGGGTATCGTCCGCATATTGGTGGTATTTTATCCCGTGCCATCGAATGATCTCACCCAGCGGTTTCATGTAGATGTTGAAAAGTAAGGGGGACAGGACCGAACCCTGCGGCACCCCACACGGAGTATATATCAGGAGTATTAGAAAAAATAAAAATTCATAGATTTTTTTTTTATCATGATACAGAATATTGGGTAATTCCAGATTCATAATTTATTTTTTTACAAACAATTGATGAGTATCACTTTCACATACACATACAATATAACATATAGTATACAGATTTAAGTAAATTGCAAGAAACTTGAAATAATGCTTTGAATAATCTTTTTTTTAAACAAATTAATGGACTATTTAAAGACTATGAAATTGTGTGGTATTAAGATACAATTCAGCAAAATTCTCTTTTGATATTTCTGCCCACTCCAGAAGATGTTTACAAAGACCTGGCTATCAACTTTAGTACCTTCAGAAATGCAATATGGCAGAGGGGACACTGACACACAAGTATTGAATTTGTTCCTTAGTTTTCCCATTTTGGCTTAATATAGTAAGAGAAAAAATGACTGAAGATCAAGCGCTTTACTATACTTTATACCAAAAATTTAATTAATCCATGAAAATCTGGATTAATCATGTATGAAGCATAGGCAAAAATATCATTTTACTTAGATGTAAAGTATCTGCTACACCAGATTTAAAATCCTGCATTGTAGTTATGTGTTCACTACCCATCTATTAATAGACCTATTATTACTATATTGAAAAAATTAAGCAACAATATTTCATTTGCAGGAGAATCTCCCTAAAGATGGGCTTCAGCACGAGTCAGAAGTCAAAATCTCTAGTCCTGGTGACCTACCCAGATTGTACCCTGCAACATTATCCTGGGACACATATATTTGCCTTCATCCATGAATATTTGGTATGGGGGTGAAATCTACTTACCTTCGCTACCTGTTTGCAAATGTGAGCGCATACGCAGGACTTCCACACATGCACAGAGCATAAAAAATGGACGTCGTTACGTCCAGATGGGTGGGCAGAGCTTGCTACCAAGCACGCCTGCAAAGGTAAGTAGAACAGCGAGGGGGAAAAAATCCACTGTGCCACCCAATTTAGATTATTTATATTAATACTAATATAAATCGTGTGCCATAGCTGATTGTCGGAAAAACTGGTTTGTCCAAACCGGTAGCATTTTTTACTACTTGTTCGGGTGAATCAGTAGCAATTTTTACCTGTAGCTTTTTTTACTGCTTCAGGCAAACCAATTTGAACTGATAGCATTTCACCCCTGTTCAGTATGTATTTTACTATGTACTTTTTTATTTTTACTTTTTCTATTTTTTGAGGGGGAGATTATTTCTTGTTTTACATTTTTGTAGTTGTGCTTTATCCTTTCTTTTGTACATTCAAATACCATTCTTAAGAAATGTGTGCCAAATTTTAAAAAAATACAATACGAAATGCTGGTCTTTCACTGATTAAACGTACATCTCTTTTTCCATGTTACATGAAAATTACTACTGAAAGATCATAGTATCAAATGAAAAACATGGTGTAACTAACTGAAATCACTCCCAGAATATCTCCAAACCTTTAAATGGTTTGTTGTTGGTTTGCAATGGCAAAAGCATTCATCCTCTTGCCCCTTAAAGACTAAGTTTTAGTGGAATAGAATTTGCTTTTCCAGAAAACATTTACCCCACAAAAACTTTTGCGATAATCGCTTATATTAATGGCATAGGGATATCTAGTTTTGAGAAATATATGATGCTGCTTCAATTCTATGAATCTCCAAAGTCAAGAAACTTACTGTGCTGTTACTACAATAAAAACCACAGGCCTTTACGGCCATTTAAAAGGTAACACAGTTACTATGACATTTTTCACAGACTGCAATTTCATGAATTCTTTGGTATATTATCCCAATCCTGTTAACCTTTCACAAAAGACACTGGCACTTTGGCTATTTTCTAGGTATTGGGTCAGTGGTTAGGTAAATTCAGCTACTATTGACAGTGTGATGATTTAACAATTTATCCTTGGATGGCAGAGGCTTATTTGGTGGGAAGATTTGTTTTAATCTTAACAAATTAACAAACAAATAAATTAAGTAAACAAACAGTCCAGAATCATTTGTGTGAAATGAGTCTATTTTATAAACCAAAAAGACACATAAATAAAAGGAATAGAATAAATGGGGAGGGGAATTGTTAAAATGACAGGAAATAATTACTGTCTTGTGTCTTTTTACAAAACAGTTGCTGATTATGACACTGATATTCTCGCTCATGTGTTGATTAATAACATATGGAGCATGATGAGACTTGGTATCCATTAAATCTATCTAAATCTTAAAATGCCTAAAATTTCAAATGTTATTTTGCTTTGAAATTGGCCTTTGAGTTCCTTAGCTCAAGATTGATTAATTGATTGATTGATTCATTGTCAACAACACACAATAAAAGAAAAATGTTTCTTGCTGGTTTTCAGATACAGTTTTTTTAAAGTCAGATTTGAATCCATCATTGTTCTGCTTAGGGATTATAAAATTTATGTAGTACACAGTACAACAATTAGATTGCTCTCAGCTAGATGGTAAGACACTGAAATAATAGATTTCTAAGGACATGAAAGTTCAAATAAGTTAATTTGTTACAGAAAAGATAAAGAAGCAATTATGAAAGAATCTTGTCAATTATATTTATAGAGAAATCAATATTTCAGCTCTTTGTTTACAAAACAGTTATAGCATTTTTGGTTGAATTGGTTATCCCATGCAGTATGATAAGAATTTCTGGAGTTCCCCATAATATGTCTATGGAGATTCTCTGTCATCCACATCATGGTTGTCCCAAAGATGCTTTTTCAAGAGGCAACTGGACTTTCTGTTTTTTTCTTTGAAGATGTTTCTCATCCAAGAAGCTTCTTCAGCTCTGACTGGATTGTAGGGAATGGAAGCATTTATACTCCTTGCAGACAGCTGGTAATTTGCATTCTTGTAGTGAGTTGTTAAGGCCACTGGAGGTTTATGTGTCCTTGGGGTCACCTGAGTGGTTTGAATGAGGGTCAAAGAGTCCATCTATGTCAAAAATGAATAGCCTTCTCTCAACCAAGGGGGAGGCATGCGACATCATCTAACTCCAGTTTACAAAACGTTTTCAACAGTTCCAAGAAGGTGCCATACCCAATTGCAACACTCAGGTGACTCTGAAGACACAGATTAACCTCCATGTGGCCTTAACAATTCTAACAGAATCAAATGTCCAGCTGTCTGCAAGGAGTACAAATCCTTCCATTCCCCCCCATCCAGTCACAGCTGAAGAAGTTTCTTGGATGAGAAGGAAAACGCCTTCAAAGAAAAAACCAGAAAGTCCAGTTGAAAAAGCACCTCTGGGTCCCTGTAATAAGATGTTTATTCTTTAAAAGATTTTTTAAATCCTTTTATTTTTTCTGACTGCAGTATCTCAATTATCTAGATATTGAGATGAGTTACACCCTTAAGGATCAAAGCAGCTAAAGGCTGGTTTGCTTTGCTAGATAACTAGAACATACTTTGAAGAGCAGTATTTGAGGAATTGGCATTTTATAGACTTGTCATACTTGAAGCCTTCATAAATGTCTAGGGAATGGAATGGAATGGAACAGAACAGAATATTGTATTGCCAAATGTGGATTCACACAAGGAATTCATTTGTTCTTATTATGATCAATACTGGAGAGATATTATCAGTAGAAAGGCAAGATATAAAGGTAAATGGCCTGAATAATTATGTGCATCCACCACTTATATTTCACATAACTAACTTCTTGGAATCTCTCTGACACTTCCAGCTCCTTTAATAAGCACCAACCGCTATTAACCTCTTAGAATCAGAGCTTTATCACAATGGACAAGATTATCTTGGTCAATCAAATGTCAATATATCTGATTTCACAAATTGAAAGTTTGGCACTTGAACATCCAGGAAATTCCATCCCAGTAAACATGATTATCTACTAATAAGAATGGCACTTACTGGTCATCTCCAACCTTCTTCACCCATGCCATATCCCTTTGCGACTGACTAGCTGCGAGATCCTAAGAAAAATAAGATCAAACTTTGTTATAAATACATACTCATGGTTATACAATCCCTAGGGGAATACAGCTAAAGGAAAGCTCTATTTTGTAAATGGAACAAATAAGGTCTTATTTGCACTATTTCAACTTGATTTTTATCCAGATGGATTCCATTAATCTTTTTAATTAAAGTTCTAATTTGAGTCTGAAATAAAAACAAAAAGCATGTCCTCATAACTAAAACTAATATAAGCAACAAAAGTTAAAAGAAAATAATGAAATTCAGAATGACAACTATTTTTTCAGGAACTATTTAATATTCATTACAGGAAAAGACCTATTATGCCTTTTAGGGGGGAAAATTATCAAAGTTTCCATTGAAAAATAACCTATATTATATATTGTTCAATATAACAGTTTATGAATCAATCTTGCTATCACCTGGGCATCCCCATGCAGTTTTCTGAGCAAAATTTTAAGTTTCCATTGAAAAATAACCCATATTATATATCGTTCAATATAACAGTTTATGAATCAAACTGCTATCACCTGGGCATCCCCATGCAGTTTTCTGAGCAAAATTTTAAAAAATGTTTCACCTAAATTTAGAACTGAGATTGATTAACTCAAAGTCACCCACTTGGGTCTATGTCTAAGGGAGGAATAGAACTGACAGTATCTATTTCTAGCCTGGGGAATCATAGTATATAGAACACAGAATAACAGTGTTGGAAGGGACCTGGGTCTTCCAGTCTGACCCCCTGCTTGAGGAGACCCTGTACCATTTCAGACAAGTGGCTGTCCAATCTCTTCTTAAAAGCCTCCAGTGATGGAGCACCACAACTTCTGAAGGCAAGGGATTCCATGGGTTAATTGTTCTCACCGTTAGAAATTTCTTCTTAGTTCTAGGTTGCTTCTTTCCTTGATTAGTTTTCATCCATTGTTTCTTGTCTTGCCTTTTGACGCTTTGAAAATAAGTTGACCCCCTCATCTTTGTGGTTGTCCCTCAAATATTATTTGATATATTGATAAATATGGTATATTATTAAGAAAGTTATATAACTATTTATGGTAATATGAATTAAATCCCAATGATCTTACTATAAAATAAGAAAGACCTATGTATTAGAAAATGGAAACTTATTTAAGAAATACAATAAATACAAGTGATTTTCAGATGTTTTAATTAGTAACTCAGTAATTGAGTGCAACAATCTGAAAATAAGACTTATCTTTTTTGATAAATGTTCTGCTATTGTAGGAGAAGCAATGGCAGAACCTGGGGTGGAGTTAAAATAGAGATCAGCATATAATCCCTACATTGCCACAAATGAATGAAGTTCAACCGTCTTTGAATTCTGTTGACCTTATCTAACCCTTTAACTGTTAGTTGAGAAGATTCGGAGATATAGACATGATTGGCAATAAATTAGTTTAATTAGTCTTTCATAATCTTTCATGTCTGAAACTTTTGCCTATAGTTCTCTGAATTGTTTCCCAACTAAGCATGGTCAGAATTGAAGAATGCCGGTGGTTGTAAATTTAACAATATAAGAAAAAGTGAACAACATCCACAGGGGCATATAGTTTTCCATGGAATGACAAAATAATGTTACATCACAAGTTGCACTCTTCTGGGGGAAAGTAGACAAGTGATGGGGGTTGTGTTGTGGTATTGCTGGCATTAGACTGATTCTTCTTGCCCTGTCTGATGTCACTGCTTGAAAAGGCTACAGCATCTTCTCTACTTCTTTCTGCTTTAGCTGTACAACATTCATTCCAATCAGGACACTAGAAAAATTAAAGCTGTCAAGTAAGATGTTACAAATAAAGAACAGGAAGGTTATATTTCTTAATTTGTACCTGGGAGCTCTGCTTTTATTTATTTTATTTAGAAAGAACGCACCTTTATTTTATATAAGCAATAGCAGATTAAATGAATAGGTGAAAAATATCTGAAGAACTTCAGGCAGATTTTTCAGAAAATCAGGGAATAGGTACATTAGGTTCAAGAGTTTGGATACAAAAGTCAATAGGCAAAACTGACTGGGGAATTCTGGGAAGGCCACATATCTTAAAGTTACCAAGATTGAGAAAGACTGGTGCAGGATGTGCCCATAGAATAGGACAAGAGTTTTCGGTGGTTATATAATGTGTCTAGTTTCATTGGCTTGAATACAAACATCCAGAGATGAATATTCTTCACTGAAACTTCTTGGATTATAGCAGATGATAGGAAACTCCTATCTCAGTTACATTTGTTTTTTAATTAGCGGGATGAGAATGACATAATCTCATATAGCAAGCATCTTTGCATATAACATATCTAGCTGCAATTATCAGCTAATTTTGAAGGTGGGAGGTATGGTACCTGGATTCAGATATTTTCATACCCAGAAGTCACAGAAACCCAGAAAAATGCTACCCTCAGGATTTTCCAAGGGGATTTTAAGTAACTTTCAATACCCAATAGTATGCACTATGGACATCCTCCAAAATGTTAAAAACTGCAGCCAGATAATTCTTTCTAAATTACAGATAGTCCTTAACTTATAACCACAATTGAGATCAGAATTTCATTGCTAAGCAAGGTGGTTATTAAGTAAGTCCCACCAAATTTTACAACTTTTCAACAAATCATTGCAGTTGTGAAGTGAATCACATAGTCACTAAGCAAATCCAGCTTCCCCCATTGACTTTGCTTGTTGGAAGCCAGCTGAAAGTTTGCAGATGGTGATCACATGATCCCGGGATACTGCAACCATTTTAAATACATGCTGGTTGCCAAGCGCCCAAATTTTAATCACATGACTGCGGAGATACTGAGATGGCCATGGGACAGCCGGCTGTAAGTCACTGTTTTCAGTGTCATTGTAACTTTGGCTGGTCACTAAACAAATGGTTGTAAGCTGAGGACTACTTGTATTTGCTATTTCATCCTTTCCACCAGTTTCATGTTTTGAGATCTCAACTAAGCAGCTTTTATTACAAATAACATTTCAAACTGCCTTGATCTTTTTATAAAGTGATTAAATGTCTCAAACAAGATCTCCAAGGCATTAACTAACAGTACGGGGAAATCCTGTTAGAAATACCTGAGCCCTGGTCTCCTGCAGCTGCTTCACCTCTGCCTGCAGCCTTTCACATTCATTCTTCAACTGCTCTTCCCGGTGCTGACAATTCTGGATTTCCTGCCTTGACTTCTCAAGCTCTACTTCCAACCTTTGGACCTCCAAAGCTTCTGCCTGTTCCAGGCTCCGTGAGCTCGGCCAGTTCATTGAGCGGTCCAGTACTAGGGATGGTGGGAGGAGAGATATAGAGGAAATCATTATCAAAGAGGTCAGGATGGAAGATAGACTGGCAGGGCTAAATGTGATAAAGGACCATTATATTCAGTTCCTAAGAACTGGAATTGCAAAGAAATAAGACTCTTTGAACTTTTTTTTAAGGACAAATAATTTATAATAACAATACTGGGCAATTGCTTCCGAAAATAACCCCTATGTAACAATGATCTTTGGTAATCATATAAAACTAGCAGAAGGAATATCTCCTGACCAGACTTCAAAATATGAAAGCAGGTTAATTTCTAAGTCTTAGGCCATAATTAATAACAGAACACTCAGCTTATTGACTTCAGTTATTGATTTTAAATATTCATAATGATGAAATTAGGAAGAAAAAGCAGAGAATAAATAATTATTGATATGGAGGCTATGATCTGTTGCAATAAGTTTTGAGAGTTCTGGACAGTACTGGCTCCTGAATTGAGATGTGCCAGCAAATGTACTTGCTTTTCCTTGGTTAGAGCCTTTTCTCCATCAGTTAGTCCATCTGGCTGTGCTGGGAGCCTTCAAAATATCAAAAGGATAGTGTACCTAACCATCCAGTTAATTTCTGCAGTGTCTTAGACAGGGTCAAAACAGAACAATCATGGGAAATTAAAAAGAAAAAGAAACATATGTGGCACTGCTAGGTGAAATAAAGAAAGAGAGGGGGGGGAGCAAATCCTAAAGTGGGACTATTATACCCAAATGATCTTTCAAGTTTGTTTTCCCATGTCTTTATAAGGTGCTTCAGTTATACTTATGATTGTATTCTCACTAAAACCGATCTCAGGCCTCAAAGCTTTATATAGAGCTTCCAGATCCCATTCTAAACTGTAAATTCATGGGATAGTTTATTTTGATTTGAATTTAATTTTTAATTTTTAGTCTGGCCCTACATATGGTGGTGGGCATGCTGGAGCACACATCTAAAAAACCAGTTATGGTCCTGGGTCTGAAAAAGACCAGCTAACTCTATTATAGGGATTGACTATTCAATTGCTAAATTCCTTTTGTAATCCAACACCTAAAAATTGAGAAGCTAAGCTTCCCTCCGATTTGCCTCAAATAACATAGCCATATATTGTCATGATCAACAAGCATTTCAGATCTTCTCAGAGATGGACAGCTGCCCTCTATTAAAATGCAGGAACACTGCTCCAAAAATGAATAGGTAATAGGTAAAACTATCCAGAAAACTGGACTCTGGGAAAAGATTCACCAATCTATCATTTTATCCTTTTCCTGTATTTCTTATGTTTTTCCTAGGAATTCAAAGCAAGTAAAGATCAAAGAGAAAGCAATATTTTGGAAATGGACTAGTCTGCATGCACCCAAGATTCAAGGAATCGTAGCACCACCTACTGGCTGACAAATGTTAGTGCCATAATGTGAATAATCTCCATTTACACATAGGAAACAGATAGATTGGGCTATGCCAGCCTGACATATAAAGTTCTGAATTATCAATGTACTTTCTACATTTTTCCAATCCTTTAAAAAATTGCCTGTGGATCTCTTTCTGGCATTGCTGTACATTTTCAACTGGATATTAATTCTATATTACAGTGGCAAATTTCAAAGAATTTATGTTATATGTTATTTGCCTGTGTTGTATGTCTGTATATTATATTACAAATTTTTACTAGATAATACTTCCTTTTAACTATTAGTTTTTAATTCAGTATTTTAATTATTTATTTTAAATGCCAAGATTGTTGCACAATAAAAATGAAAGATACTAATATTATAATTTAATAAATTATATATACTATAATTTATTATATATTTTATTTCTATTCTATAAATGAACAAATAAATGTTGATGAGTCAATGTACTACTGGAAGGCAAGATTTTGCCTCAAGTCTCTAGATCCAGCGTCTGAGTAGCTGACCTCAGAGTCTGAAAATGAGTATCTGACTTCAAAAGGTATATTTGATCACATAAATCCCTTCATCTACTGCCTCTCTGAAATCTGATCACTGACCTACTTCTGATCACATCTTTCACTGACCCTTTAGAGATTCAGCTATTTTTCATAAACTATGATTACTGCCTACATTTGATCTCAACCATCTGCAGTCCTTTTAACCCTGTAGGCTGTTCGAATCCCAAGTACAGGTCTCCTGTGTGAGCAGGGGGTTGGACTAGATGACCTCCAAGGTCCTTTCTAACTCTGGTACTGTTAACTCATACTGTTGGTTCCAAAACTGATTTTCCCAAATTGTAGTGCCACATTTTGGTTAATGCAGTATTCTCCAATTGGGTACCTTCAGATGTGCTGCAGCTACAATTCCCAATATTTTTACCCAGGATATATAATTCTGGGATTTGTGGTTTCAGACTTTGGATCAATTGAATATAACTGGTTTCAAACCTAACAGTTAATACCTTGTTTTCTGGACTAGAAATTTTAAAAAAAATCACCATGAGTGCCATGAAGTGATCGGAACTGAACTTCTTGATTTTGAAGTTGAGAGTTGAGATTCTGGAAAGTGTTGCCATCTCTCTGCCTTAACTGCTGCTCCAGGCTCCGAATGCGATTCAGGTGTGTATCAACAAGTGCTCTCTGCAGAAAGACCAAGATAGAAATAGATGTTGTGATAGAAAGGATAGTAAGCAGAGAAGCCTTCAAATCCAAAGAAGCTGCCCTCAACTTCGCCTCGCCTCCAATCTAAGACCAATCCCCTCTCTTCTGAAGAGTTTCATTCTGATCCTGATCAACTTTTACTTCATTTTAGTTTTCTTTTTTGTTTCAATTATTTATTAATTCATCAGAATCTAAAATACAGGAATACAAAGTAAAAAAATAAAAATAATAGAAAATAGGGGAAAGGAAGGGAAAGAGGAAAAGGCGAAGGGAAAAGGGGAAAAGAAAGAGTAAAATATTGACTTCTGACTAGTAGAATAAGGTATTCTTAAAAATATAACCCCAACTTTTTACTTATACATAGTAATATCATTTCTATAACAACAAACCTATCTAGTCAGTAAAACCCCAAATCAAAATTTCATTTCATTTTTTTTCCATCTCCAGCATTTTTTTTCCAAATCCAGCAAAAAGTCTAATAGTGGTTTCCAAGTAGAAACATTTGTTTTCTTTAATCAGTCAATTTAGCCATCTCTGCTAACACCATCAACTTTGCAGCCATTTGTTCAAAGTATCCTTCCATTCTTGGGCATTGAGTAATTAATAACACTTCAGCTAAGGATTTTATGTTGCACTCAGCCAAAAAAACAAATCTACTCAATAATAGAATCTTAATTTCATTCAGGGCTCATATATTAAGCAAGAGTATAGCTAAAACAATAACAATTTCTGATAATGCTCCAATTATATTAGGTCTTTTCAATCCATGATCTCAATTTTGCTTCCTTTTAAATGGAGATTAAATATCTAATTGTTACATAATGTTTGGCTCAAAGACAGCATTGCTAAAGGACTGTAAAATTCCTCCAAGGATATAATACAATTGAATAAAGAACATGCGAAGAAAGGTTGCAGGAATTGGGTGTGTCTAGCCGAATGAAAAGAAGGATTAGAGGTGACATGATAGCAGTGTTTCAATACCTAAGGGACTGTCACAAAGAAGAGGGGGTCAACTTATTCTCCAAAGCATCTGAAGGCAAGACAAAAAGCAATGGAAGGAAATAATCAAGGAGAGAAACAATCTAGAACTAAGGAGAAATTTCCTGACAGAACAATTAATCAGTGGAACAACTTGACTCCAGAAGTTGTAAATGCTCCAACACTGGAAGTTTTTAAGAAGAGATTGGACGACCATTTCTCTGATATATTATAGGCCTTCTTGGTTGACCAGGGGTTGAACTAGAAAATGTCTGAGGTCCCTTCCAACTGTTCTGTTCTGTTCTATTCTATTCATAGTGGTAAATAGCTGGTAGATAGGAAGGAAAACCAAGTTCCATTAAGTAAACAAAAGGACATACAGAATTATAGCATTTTGTTCTATTTATACGTGTAATAATTCTGAAAATATTAAGTTTAGAGATTGTAGATTAACTCTAAACTCACTAAATTTATTGATGATCATGAAGATTTATTTAGCCAATTAAGAGAAGCTGAAATAGTATATTTTTAAACTGATAAACTGCTTTGAGCTGTTTAAATATTTAAAAAATACCAAATAAATATTATTTATGTAAAAAGTTTTTACCTTGTCAAACTAAAGTAATAGTGTGTTATTCTTTAACTAAATAAGGATCTCCACAGAAGGCCAACAAAAAAGCCTATTTACATTGTTAAATCAAGATGGAAAAAAAAAGGTTCACCACGTTGTTAATCTATAAACTAAAATGTTTATAAATAATTGTTTCCTAATCAATCTTGATTTATTCCTAAAAGAAACATAGACAATTAAATTATAGGTGTGTTATATGTTGTTAACGTGTTATACGAAACATAATAAACTCCCATTTTATTTCCAAGAGCTATAGTGGCACAGTGGTTAGAATGCAGCATTGCAAGCTAATTCTGCTGTCTACTGGCTGCCAGCAGTTTAGTAGTTCTAATCTCACCAGGCTCAAGGTTAATTTAGCCTTCCATTGTTCCGAGGTTGGTAAAATGAGGACCCAGATTATTGGGGGCAATATGCTGACTCTGTACACTACTTAGAGAGGGCTGCAAAGCACTGTGAAGGGGTATATAAATCTGCTATTGCTATATGCTTTGCTCTGCCTGGATATCTTCCCACATCTGATGAAGTCAAATGCATACAATATTTCTACAAACGTTATTGGAAATAAAATAGAGATTATCTGCAGGCTACAATGGCAGTAGGGACTGGGATTGCCATTGCTAAGCAATGCAGTTATAAAGCATTACATCATTCCTTCTTTCCTCTACAGTCACATGGAGCACTGAACATTTTGGCTGAACACTTTGTATTCTTGATCAGTGGCATCTGCAGGGTCAAATAGGGGGATAGAATAATGAAAGGAATGATGCAAACCGATCCTATTTTGCACAAGTACTGTGACATTGAATGCACATTTAAAAGAGTTAGAGCTTGTGTCACACTGCTCCTTTTATCATTCTAAGAAAAGCAACAAACTCCTATTCCTGACTTAAGTCAGGGCAACATTTTTCTTTGTCACTGCTGAATAGAAAAACTGCTATTAGAATTGCTATTCTTCCTTAATTTGTATTCCTCTTTCAATGTTTCCAATTCATGTTAATTAATTGATGTGTACATGGCAAGGAAACATTTATGCATATAAAATAGTTTTCGAAGGCTTAGACAAAGCATAGAAAAGAGATTTAGGTAGAGAAACCTGAAATATTAGAATTATTATTATCTTATACCTTTTTTATATGTAACTCAAGGAAGTGAACAAACCTAATACACCTGCCTTCTATTCCCCGCCCCCAACAAAAACTCTGTGAGGTGAATTGGGCTGAGAGAATGATGGGGCCAAAATAATACAGCTAACTTTCGTGCCTGAGGGTGGGCTAGCACTCGGTGTCCTTTTTCTAGTCAGCACCTTTACCACCACACTAAACTTTAAACATAATAATAAAAATCATACTAATTTTATTGTTACTTCAATTTAAGATGAGTAACTCATATTATTCAGATCTCAAAGGAGGTTTACTGAGCTAGTGCTAGATATTCAGCCTGTAAAGCAATATCATTTCTACCTGATATTAAAAGTACTATTCTTTATAGTACTATTCTCCCATAAAACTGTATTGTACTACTTATTGTCATCATGCTGACGGAGTGTAATCAAATCATTATGTACAACCATTTCTGGTCACAATGCCCACACAGATACATTTGTTTGTGTTGGAAGATTTTCAAATAAAATGGAAAAATTATATAATATATTTAATAATTCATTTGATTTTATTAATTTTTCATCTTTCCTAGGAAGTATAAATAAAATGGTATAACACAAGAAATTAATTCAATGTTGTTATGAGCTGCCAAGTTTACTGTAAGAAAACACTGCAAAGCTTAACTACATCAATGGAGTTTAAAATATGGGAATTAGCAAAGGATGTACATTTATATAGCAACCAATAATCTTGAAGAATCTTTTAATTAAATATTCACATTGAGTGTCATTTTATTTAGTTGTATAAACAAAGTAATTCCTAAGTCATTACGTCCATCTGTAAAATATGTCTTAGAAATAATGAATATGTGTTTACTTATGTTTATTTTTCTTTAAATTGTGTGTGTGTTTGAGAGCGTGTGTGTGTGCGCGCGCGCATACACATACATCAAATATAGCAATAGTAGCAGTTAGACTTATATACCGCTTCATAGGGCTTTCAGCCCTCTCTAAGCGGTTTACAGAGTCAGCATATTGCCCCCAACAACAATCCGGGTTTTCACAGCTGGCATCAAGGAAGCAGTATTGAGCTTCATTCTCTGGCTAAAATAGAAAAGCCATCAAGGTCCATTAACATGCTAAAAGAAAAACATGACTAGTGCTCAAAAAAGAAGTTAATTGGAAACCAGCTTTCTTGGCCTCCCATGATATGGACCATGGATCAGCTTGCCAAGTTCAACTATAAGAGTCCAGTCAACTCATTTCAGCTGCCTGTCAATTGTCAAGAGAGGTACACCACAAAGCAGCTCACTCTCCCTTTGAAGATGCCAGCTATAGCTCCTGGAGAAACATCAGTACTAGACCCTGGCCATTTAGCTGAAAAGTCCATCATTGCTTCAAATCTTTCTCTTGTTTTTCTCTTTGACTTTTTTCTCTTTCCCATACTTTTTTTTTAATTGTTAACTTTCTTCCTATGTTTGAAAGAGGTTTGACTAGTTCTTTGTTTTCTTTTGCAGGTAGTCCTCGACTTATGACCACAATGGAGCCCAATATTTATGTCGTTAAGTGAGAAATGTGTTAAGTAAGTTCTGTTCCATTTTATGACCTTTCTTGCCGCATTTGTGAAGTGAACCACTGTTAGTAACTCGGTTATTAAGTGAATCTGGCTTCCCTGTTGACTTTGCTTGTCAAAAGGTCACCCCGGGACAGTGCAATGGTTATAAATGTAAGTCAGTGTCCAAGCATCTGAACATACAGTAAATCATGTGATCATGGGGATGCTGCAAAGGTCATAAATGTGAAAAATGGTCATAAGTCACTTTTTCAGTGCCATTGTAACGTCAAAAAGTCACTAAACGAACTGTTATAAGTTGAGGACTACCTGTACTGACACGTTTTCTTACAAAAACAAATTGTATCACACTCCCATGTTTATTTTTAGTTTCTAAAAATTAACACAGTCTTGAGAATCTGAAGAGGTTCCTTGAGAAACAACAGAAGCAAGAGCTGCAATGGTGCAGTAGTTAGAAAGCAGTACTGCAAGTTACTTCTGTTGACTGCCAACTGACTGCAATTGGGCAATTCGACTCTCAACAAGTTCAAGGTTGATTCAGCCTTCCATCCATCCAAGGTCGGTAAAATGAAGATCCAGATTGTTGGGGACAATATACTGACTCTGTAAACTGCTTAGAGTATATATGTCTAAGTGCTATTGCTATTAAGCGAACAGATGCTGGGATAGAAATGATAGCATTCCCCAACATCTGAAAAACAGTATTGTGTTATTCCACATTTTATCCTGGAAATCCTTAAACCATCGAGTGCTCTCAGGAATACTGAAGGATCGCACTTTCTTGCTAGCATTGTATGTCCTTTCCTCCAAACAGTCTTTGGGTGACCTTGCTTTGGACTTGTATTGCACCCTCTAAAAGAGTTATATGGCCCTACTGAATTTGTTCTGCGATATAACACCCTGGATTTCTGCCTCAAAATTACTTTTGCTGTTGAGTATGAAATGTTGAATAACAGGGCTCCTTAGTTTGACTTACCAATTACGTTTTTCTTCAAAGCACACTTAAGGCCATTTATTATGATGCTTATAAGACTGAATAACAAGAATTGCAAGTTCTATATTAAGTTGTGTCCTAATGCACACTTCAAGGGAGGGCGGGAGTAGCAAAAGGGATCAAGGCCTGCCAACACAGTTCTGGCTAAATAATAATCCTATAGCTCTTTATAATTAGTATAGCAGATTATCGTAGGTGGGGAATAAAAGAAAAGATATACCATTAAATCCATTAGTCACTGAATTCATGAGGTTCTAATTCTGCCATTCAAAACCAACCCCACTGAATAAGACAAATTGCCTCTGCATGATTCAGAAAGGCTTTTGGCAAAAGTCAGGGAAGCAAATGGCATTCCCTATTCACCTAAATTAAGATTCATGATGATTATGGCTATCCAAGCTATTTTGGAAGATGAAGCAAAAAATCTTAGAAATGTCCATGCCATCTGAGGCAGAGTTGCAGTTTATGGCAGCGAAACCTCATGGGACTTCTGAAATCTTTAGTGGCAAATCCAGAGACTTCCTAAGGTTGCCAGAAAATTACTGGTAGACTTTGATTAACCCAATAATTATGATTGGAATTTCCTCCACTAAGATCACCTAACAATTAGCAACAGCGGTCTCAGCACTCCCTGTTGCTGCTGTTTCATGAGGATTGCAAAATGGTTAAACAAGTGTCAGATGGCTTGCAAGAAGGCCACGAGGCAAATAAGTATCTTGTGCCCAATGGAACAAGATGCATCATAAGAATGGTTGGACCTGGGGGTAGCTGCTACTGGGCAGGAGCGACTGATGAGATAAAGCACTATCACGGTGAGGCCAAGACCTATCCAAAGCAACTTGTGACCTTCCTTGTTAGCTTAGCTGTTGACTTTGTTTTGGGAAGCCAGCAGAGCAGTTGCAAATGGAAATCACATAACCATATGATGCTGCAACCATCATAAATCAAGGTAGTTGCAAAAACTGGTATCATGTGACTTGTGCTGGGGTGTTTGAATGGCTGGAACTTTTAGGGCCAGTCATAAATACCACTCAGCACCATTGTAATTTCAAAATCCCTGATTGAGTAGTGATTAAACAAGGGCTAGCTGTGTAATTTTTTAATGTGATAGAAGTTAAAACAATAAAACTGTCACCAGTTCTATGTTTGGTTCATATTGTTTTACTGTTTTTGTTGATGTTGTTTGACATGGCTTTTATAATCTGTAATGAATGAATCAAAATTTATTTAAGGTTCAAGACCAAACACAATAAAAGACTAGTAATCAATAACTGCAAAAAAATGTGAGAAAATCCTAACACAATTAGCAGCTAACAATTAATAGCCTGAGGGAGGAACCAGATGGCTTCTAACAGCTAAAGCTATAAATAAGAATTTTACATCCTTCTTAGAAGAATGGTCACCAAGGAGAAGGGTAATAACTTCCTGGCCACAATAGCAATTAGTGTTATTAACAATTGGAAGTATTAAACTTCATTGTCCCCGAGTGTACAATGGACATTTCAATAGCACATGTGAAATGGATTCCAACCAAGTCTTAATTTGTCTTAAAGAAACAAATTTGGATTTCATAGAGGCGGCATATAGATCTACTGGTTGTTGCCCTAACATTTAGCACCCAATTCTGACCAGAGTAAATAGTTTCCTACCTGAAGGATATAAAATGTGATAGAAATATCTAGGGACAGATATTGGAGGAGGAACAATTGTGCTATAGCAATAGCATTAGCTCTTAGACTTACATATCACTTTACAGCGCTCTACAGTCCTCTCTAAGCGGTTTACAGAGTCAACATATTGCCCCCAACAATCTGGGTCCTCATTTCATCCACCTCAGAAGGATGGAAGGCTGAGTCAATCTTGAGCCTGGCGAGATTTGGAACTGCCAAATTGAAGGCAGGCAGCAGGCAGCAGAAGTAGCCTGCAGTACTACACTCTAACCACTGCGCCATCATGGCTCATAAAAGAGTTGGAAGAGTTTGGTTCTATAATAATCTCTGTAAATCACCAAGTCTCTGGATTTCAGCAGGGTAGAAATTTGAAAACTAAACCAATACATACAAAAATGTTAGTGATTCTATTAAATATATTATGATGCCAGTTTAGAGTAGTTAAGCAGTAAGCTAGAAAACAGTTTTCTGTGAGTTCTAGTCCCACCTTGTGTGTGGATAGGTTCGCTGCCCTGAGTTATTTGTAAACTAATACAAAGACAGGATATAAATAAATAAAATAAAAAATAAAATTAATCATGTTATTAAATTATTTTCAAGGAGCTTTAACTAAATCTACTGTGACCCAACAAATGCGCTCCGACAAAACCATGCCGCGACAAAACAAACAACATAGTGGGACACAAAAACAACATTAGGGGTTAGGGTTAGGGTTGTTTTCACGTCCCATTATGTTGTTTGTTTCGTCGTGGCACGGTTTCGTCGGCGTGCATTTGTCGGGCGCGCATTTGTCGGTGAACCAAATCTACAAATAAGTTAAATGAAATTTCATTTTATATTCCTCTGCCACCATATTCTTGATTATAATATTTGCTGTATCCCCATAACAAAATGTGCTGACGACAGGTATATTGGTGAGTGGGGTAGAGTGAGGGAGTAGAAAAGGTCAAGGGGATAGTCATCACTGTGCAACTGAAGCCCTTCCCCCTCTTTTACATGTGTAATATTCATATTCATAAAAAGGGAAAGTCTTCAATCATATGAAGACTTAGTGTAGGTGTGCAATAAGTACGGGTGTGTCAAATTCAATTTCATTGAGGGCTGCATCAGGGTTGTGCTTGACCTCGGGGGTCCAGGGTGGACATGGTCACCTCAACCTCACTTATGTTGGCGCATATGGTGGCCTGAGTGCTTTGCCAGCAAAAACGGGTTCTCGAACTCTGTTTTTGGCTGCAACGGCCTCCTGCAACCCTCTGCCAATGAAAACGGAGCAGCGGGCCCTCACTGGCAGAGGATTGCAGGAGGCAGAGCTTGGGAACCCATTTTTGCTGGCAGAGGCAGCATGGGCCAGTCCTTCACTGTTTCCAGGGCAGCGTCTTGGGCCAAATCTAAGCACCCTAGAAGCCGGATCCAGCCTTGAGTTTGACACTCCTGTATTAGTGGCTACCATCTGATACAATGTCATCTCTTGCAGAGGTCCTTGGCTGGCAGAGATACATGTTGTTACCCAGTGAAATAGTATTTCAGTCAAACAGCTGCAAGCATGGCTATTTTCTCAGTCTAATAAATCACATCATCAAGAATGGGAGCGGGAGAAAATGCATGACCAAGAAAGTAGTTGACACCCACCATTTGGCCCAGCTCTGACTCAAGGTCCGTTTTTTCCATACACAGCTTCTCATAGGCTTGGATCATCTCCTCCATCTGTTCTTCCCTTTCCTTGCTTTTTTGCAGCTGGTTTAGAGAGAAAAAGATAGGAAACAAATGAGCAAAAATCACATTCAGCAGCCACTAATTATCTAAATCTGTGACTGCCAGTTTCAAAGGCTGGAGACAGGCAATTGCATATTCCCTGCATTTTAGACCCTTGCACCATCTTCTGCCCCATATTAAACTCAGGGAAATCTGTTTTTTCTATTTGTCTCCTGAGTCAGATGTGTTCAATCAGCTTGCTAATCAGCAGATAATTGTGTGGGTTGCTGTAGTAAAACAAAGCAAACCTGGATGGTCCTCCTGAATTAGGAAGATCATTCAGCAAAAATGGCAGTAATTCATACTGCATTTGGAGCCAGGTACAGATATCATTTCAGAAAAGAAATGCGGAAGAACTCATTTTACAGTTAAAGAATGCTCAAGCTGCAGCTATTTTCACACTGAAAAGTGCTGAAGATATCCTGAGAAAGTTTCCATTTATACAACTGTATGTACCTGCAAAATCTATTTACTAGAGATGAAAATGAGGTGAATATTAATTACTCCATAGTAATTAATAGTTCATTATCTCCATTGCTCCAAAAAAAGAATTCATGTACCGGTAATCTATTTTCAACTAATATTTTTTCATGGGCACATACTGTTCACTTAGCATTCTTTTTGGATACATTTGGAATCAGCAATCTTTTCTTTTTGGGAGGTATTATGAGGCAAGAGTAGGTGTTTTAGATCTTTGCAGAAGTTCAAATGCATTTAACCTACTAGTCCCCAAAACTTTGGTTAGTTTTCTTCTAGTTCGCCTCTATAGGGAGAGGTGTTAATTGATGCAATGGATATTTTAAGTATCTCATCCAAAATATCTATTCTACTTATCCCCCACCGAAATATTTTAAAATGCCCCAAAATGAAGAAGTTAGCACCCTCTACTCCAAGATTGTCCCAATGTCATAGTAGAAATATTAATTTCATGGAAAAAAGTCAATGCAGCTGAATTTTGGATTAGATTACTGTGCATTTATTAATTCAACTCACTGCTCCAGCAACTCATACTGGATATGTAATTGAGATAGATAGGGAAATAGTTGCAGCATCATTGCTGTCACTAATTATTTTGATTTTGTCTCCTCCAAGTAAGCATTATTTCTGACTGCCCTGAAGTTTTTAACTTTATTCAAATGACCTGAGCAGAAACTCTCCCTCAGACTTCCTAACTTAACATGAGAAGGATGGGATTTCACTATTTTAAGCCATTATGTGACAAATGTAATCCCTGTAAGAGGGTTCTATTTCAGTAGTAATTCTATAAAAAAAAATTCACAATACCAAGAATGTAGAATATTCAACAAAATTTGTTTGATAGAGATCATCTAGCAATATTAATTCCTAAGCCATATACCAGGATTTTTTTTATAAAAAGCCATACATACCAATACAATTAGCAAACCACTTTGTCAAAAACAAGTAAATTCTGCATCCTGAATAAGACATTAATTAAATATTGTCTGCATACATTTTGCTTTTCAGATGTAGTTTTCTTTTCAATTTCTATCAAAGTTAAGAAGTCCCTGTAAGCAATCCACAGTGTGAGAGCTGAAACTTATGAAGTAGAAGACTAGAAAGGACCATCAAGTAAAAATATCTTAACTGCCTTTTAAAGCCACACATACACAAAAAAGAAGCTAAATATCTGTTTATTCAGAAGGGTGAAAGGAAAAAGCCAGAATTTAAATAATGGACCACAAAACATGTCCCTCCCTCCCTCTACTTACTTACTTACTTACTTACTTACTTACTTACTTACTACTTACTTACTTACTTACTTACTTACTTACTTACTTACTTACTTACTTACTGCACTGTCATGAGCAAATGAATCATTGCATCTGAGGCCTTCTTTTTGTCTGCAATAAAAATTGTGAGCCAAGGAATGCCCGGAAGTTTCCTGGCAAGTCTGGCCAAAAACTGAATTTAGGGCGAAGTGTCTGGGTTTATTACCTACCCTGGGTGTGAAGTTTGACACAGAACACTGAAAATTAAGCACTAGAATCTTTGCTTCATCCTTCTCTTCTAGTGACAAGAGAACTGAAAATGTTTCAAGAGAAGGAATGCAGATGGTCCGTTACTAAATTAAGAATAACATTGGAATAAGATTTCAACTACCGACATATAAAAAATATGCCATTCCAAATTATTGAAGAACAACAGAAGGGGATGGTACCTTGACTCCCACCTCAATTCTTCCCTATCTTTTTCTCCTCCCCACCCCAACAACATTTAATCTTTAGTACAATACTCCCAATCCTTTCATGGAACTTTTCCCTTCGTGGGAAAAGTCTGCATACAAACCAAGTAAGATACGAAATCCAATTCTTGTTTCTCTAGCTGTGATAATCCTTCCTTCTTTTACAAGGAACAAGATTTATAACATGGTTGATTTCAAATTGTCAAGCAGGGGAGCTGATGCCACCTAGCCAAATTATTGAGTCTGTTTACAGCTAGACATTGTGTTCTTCATCACAACCATAAGTGGCTGAAAACCTGTTAGAACTGAAAATAGCAGCTACAGTATTTTTTACAGAATTTAGACCTTAATCTGAAAATCAAATTCTGTACTTGTGTGATGAGTTCATATTAATGTAAAATTTAAATATATTTATAAAACATCTTTCTTAGTGTGTCCAGTCAATATGTATGTGTGTGTGTGTGTGTGTGTGTGTGTATGTATGTATGCATGTATGTATGTATTCTGTCTGTCTTATTCTCTGTCTGTGTTTCTCTGTCTCTGTCTCTCTCTATCTACTCACACACCAAATAATAATCTCAAGGTGATCTTAATATTAAATATGGTCGTTAGCTTCAGATAAAAATATTGTTTCTATTACTATTACTAGTAATAATAATTACTTTTTTATGTTATAACATAAATCCTTTTTTATTTTGTACGTGAGTTTGGATGAAAAGTTAAAATATTTTATTCTTACAATATTGACATTCTAAAATTCTGCTAATAATAACAGAATTTTGATTAAACACTTGTTTATAAGCAGATGAAATAAACTTATTGCAACCAAATTTTAAAAAATCCTTATTTTCAATACTTTAAACTTCCTAAATAATCGAATGTTCATACTTTATGTGCATTATATACATATCGCCACACTTAAATATTTATTGAACTAATGCAATGTATCAAGATTTATAACATTATAATAAAATAATAATAATATAGAACTAAAAAGGGCTCCTTATAAAGATTCTTTGTCCCAAAGAATCCCTTTGTTGTGATTATTGGTGGTTGATTGGATTTCTTATTTCTTATATAATCACTTGATTATTCACCTTGTATATTTAAAGTTTAAATAAAATATTTATACAATAAAGAAAGAAAAAGGAAGGAAGGAAGGAGGGAGGGGGCGGGCTATACAGCCTTATGAAGTATGCAATGCTAAGAGAAACAACAATTGACCCCAAATCATCTCATGAATCTTGTAGGCTCAAGATTGAATTGAAATTTTAAGTCCTCTTATCTCATTGTATTACTTTGGTTATGATAAGTTAAAGTAACAAAACTCCTATAGAAAACTAAATAGTTTCACGTTAATATAAAGAAAATATGCTAAAATTCATAAATTTCTGCTAGATACATGTCTGTTCAAGACAAAAAGGGCATTGGTACTTACCTGATACGCCTCTTCTCATAATGGGGGGGGGGAACAGAATGGGTTGACCTTTTCCTCTCATGATTGGATGAGTCAGATAAGCTCTTTGGGCAACGCCCCCTGGCCAGCCGATATTCCCCATATTTGACGAAGAGCTCTATCTGACTCATTGCACCATTCACACCAGACTCTTAATTCAGTTCTTAGCTATATCGTCTTTGACATCAATATTTATATAACTTCATAAAACAATGAACATAACACTTAGTCGTACAAACATAGG